CCATAACCACTGATGCAACTCTCAGTTCTGTGGGTTAGCACTCTGGGCACTTCTGCTGTTTTCAGCTGGACTCAATTCTGGGTCTTCAGTTTGCTGCAGGTTAACTGAGTAGCTCTGCTTTCGGGCTGTTAGCTGGAGTGATGTGGCAACTGGGCCAGGGTCCCATCATCCCATGACTAGCCCAGGATTTTGTGCAGTGGTTCAGGACTCTAAGAGATGCAAGAAGGGGAGCCCCATTGCACAACTGGTTTTCAAGTCTCTACTCATGTCACTTGGTGTTGACCCTTTGACCAAAGTAAGTCACAAGGCCAAGCCCAGAACCAGTGTCAGAAAGTCTTTCCATGCAGGGAGGCATGAAGAAGTCAGAGCCTTTACTATGGTCAGTCTAACACTCACTTCAATGCCCTAAAAGACGTCATTTAGTAAATTTTAAAAATCTATTTTTAGAAGCCTTTCTCCCCTGGACATGAAGTCATCAATTACTGATAGGGATTAGCCTGCTGGCCTAGGAGAAATTGCTAATGACATTGTGAATATTGGAAATACTAAATATAAACTAAATCCTTATTATTCTACAGTGATTAGTTCATTATCCATGGCATTACAAGTCTAGAATTATCAAGAAAAGTTTGTACTTAGGACTTGATAAAAGTGTTCTTGCAAATAAGGAAAGAGTGTGATCTGTATTTATTTACTCAATACACATTTATTAAGCCATCATTATGTGCTCATGAACCAATGTTTCTTAAACTTCTTACATGGGCCTGACATTGTTCTAGGCATTGAGAATAGAGCAGGGAATGGAAAAGTCGAGGTCCCTCTTTTATTACATTTTATTGAGAGAAGATGTAAAATAAATCAATCATCTAAAACAATAAATATACATTCAATAATAAACAAAACAGTATAATACAGTCGGACAGTGACAGTTGCCTTAGTACAATAAAATAGGGGACTGTGTTAGAGAATGATTGAAGACTTCATTTGGATCAGTCATGCAAGACTTCTCTGAGTGTAACCAAACGCAGGCCCAGTTGCCTTCTGCAACAACAGCCCATACTCAAGAGGCGGTGCTGATGTAAAGGAAAGTGGCTTGTTTGTAGATGCTGGCCATCTGGAAGATGGGGCACTCATGTCTCAAAGCCCATCTCCACCGCTCAGTGAGGGCAGAAGTTTTTATAAGGAGGCAGAGGGGAACAGAACAAAGGGATCAAGGGAAGGGATTGAAAAGTTCTCTACAAGCAGATGAACTCAGCCCATTCCAATAAGGCAAGTAAGTGATGGTCCAGTGTGCGTCATCCTGGTTTCGTCAACCTGGCTTCATATCATCCCAGCTTCGCGTCAGCCTGGCTCCACAGTTGAAGGTCAGCAAATCACCTGGAGCTGGGCTGCCTGAAGGTCTGGGTCTGTATCTTTTGAAGTTAGTTCTTAGGATTCTTATACAAACATGCTGTTCTTCTGCAAGCTACATGTTATTCAGAGTCAGCACTCGCAGAAACAAAGCCTAAGGAACAGTGGGGTGGGTTACAATTTCCCATTGTTAGGATTTTCCACTGTTACATGAGGAGGTAATTTGGCGGTGGGGGGAGAGGGGGGAAACAGAAAATGCAAAGAAATCAGCTGTGTCAAGAGCAGATCTTCCTTAGCAGAGGAAATAACAAGTGCATAGGCAGTGAAGCAGGAATCAGCTCGGTCTGTTTCAGGAATAAAATTCAATCCAGGACAGCAGGTATAGAGTCAAAGACGCCAGCAAGGGCAAGGTCACTTAGACTTTGGGGGCCATAGGGAGGAGTTCAGCTTTAGATTTTATCTCGTCAAGCAGCAGTAAGGTTTTCACAAAGGAAATCAGAGATGGTGTCGTGTCCTGATTTTTGCTTGTAGAGATTACACGGGCCATAGATGAAGAGTGGACTGTAGAATGACAAGAGCGGAGGCACACCAAAGAGGAGGCCATCAATAATATTGAGCAAGAAGTGATGCTTCCTAGTCCAGAAGGTAGTGGAGATGCAGAAACTAAGACAGAACATGACGACTTGCTGGGAGTGGAAGGGGGAGCAAAAGGGATCAAGAGCAATGATTCAATATCTGAACTGAGCCTCCATGAGCCTTCCAGTCACTGTAATGAGCTTTGGGGATAAAAATGACAATAAGAGGTTATGATCTATAACTATTTAATAAATGCTACTTAGTTAATGGACTAATAATTTAGAAAAATTAAGTTAGATTTAAATATCCCATTTTTAACAACATGAAGTCCAAATAGGTTGAAATGGGCTAAATTTAACAAATAAATAGTAGCTAAATAAATTAGAAGGAAAAAATATATATGTATATGTACATACACATATATATTAAGGTATATAGTAAAGTACAAAAGCTTTTTTAACACTGAGGTGTAAGCAATAAGGAAAAATATTAATGGGTTGATTTTAAATTTTTAATTTTTTATATGTCAAAAATGTATCATAAGCAAAACTAAAAGGCAAACAATACTGGAAAATGTAATCACACCATATGTGACAGATTTGATGTGCTTAATATATAAAGAGACCTTATAAATCAATATGGAAAAGATGAACAAAGAACCCAATAAACAAAAAAGCAAAAATACAGGGTAAGTCTGAAGAAAGAGTGACAGGTAATCAATAATATACATATTTAAAATATAATACGATTTTTTTACCTTCCAAATTGGTAAATATTTTTAAAAGAATAATAATCCAGGAGTTATGCTAAGAAAATAAAATTGACACTTTTTTTGAGAGAAATTCTTCTGAAAGTTCATTCCCTTTTATCTGGCAACTTTATTTTTTTTAATGTAGCTAAATGACACAGTCAAGATTGTGTGAAGTCATATATAAACACTACTACACTGTTGTGTATGGTAATATAAATTTCCACAATAAGGAGCTGATTAAACAAATAATGGTATGTCCATATGGTGTAATATAGTGTAGCTAGCTAAAATAGCATGGCAGAAAAAAAAAGAACTGACTGACATATGGTAAATTGTACATAACATGTTTTATGTGATAAAAGCAGGTTATAAAACAATAAGCCAAATGTAATAACATTTTTGTAAATGCTCATAGAGGAACTTTGTCAATAAAGACATTCACCAAATTGTTTATAGTAGCTACATTTGAGAAATGGAATTGTAAGTGATTTCTTCCCCTCTACATGCCTGTGTTTTCCAAAGTTTCCACATTGAACATGTGTAATTATGTCTTTTTATATTACGAAATAAACATTACACATATAAAAGGGTAAGTCCTCAAAAACAAAAGGAGTCACTGGGCCTCTAACTAAAGGAAACCAACTGCGATCAGTCATCAGAAGAAAGGTTTTCAGGACGCTTGCACATAAAACATGCAAAACAAGGTTCCCCTGATACTGATAATAAATCAACGATCCCCTCCAAGTGGGGGTGGAGCATGGACTGGAACAAAGACATCCTGAAGCCTAGGCGCTGTGGACACGCACATCCTGTTAGTCATCGTTCAAAGGTCAGCTCATACCAGCAGGGGGGTGTAGGCAACTGAACTAATACCCACAAGTACTTGAAAATCACACTGTCCTCTGAAAGGAGGTGGTATAAGCTTTGACTGTGACCCAGTAAACCATTTGCCTGATTCTATTAAAAGAGTCCAAAGAATGATCAATCTGATTGTTTCTGATCTCTACATGCCATAAATTAACTAGGTAAACTGGCTGACTTTTTGAAATACTGTATCTATCAAACATGTGACCCAAAAATCTTGAGTGATGGTCAATCTATGAATTTAACACATGAACATTCAGGACACCAGAAATCAACTCTGCCTCCTAAACTCATTGTAGGAGTTATGTTTAATTCCTTTTGAAGGCTCTATGGTTTATACTTAAAAAAATAACTTTTTAAAAATTACCATGGTTGCTTTACATAGGAAACAGGAAGAGCCTTTGTGTTTCCATAGCATCTGTCATTGGAGGGCCTCTAAGTTTCTGGTGCCCCCCTCCACGTTGTTTAGGCTGAATTATTTAATTTCAAATAAAAATAAAAAGCTTTGGCATTTTTATTGTTTTCAGAGGAGCTTCTCTTTTTCTTTTCTCTTTTCTTCTTTTTTCTTTTCTTTTCATTCTTCTTTCCTTTCTTTCTTCTTTATTTCTCTGTGTCAATGCCTTTGCCCGTTCTTTTTTTTAAATTGAGGTATAGTTGGCATATAACATTGTATTAGTTTCAGGTGTACAACATAATGATTCTATATTTGTATGTATATTGTGAAATGTTCACCACAGTAAGTCTAGTTAACTCAGCCTTAATGGTCTTCTTGAAATTGCAGGTACTGAAGAAAAGCAAAATCCCCAAATCCAACTCAATAGGTAGTATCTAAAGTATTATTAATTTCCTCTTTCATACTTTATTACAATAGTTTTCAAACTTTGATGTCTACCTGATTTTTCTGAGGAGCTTGTAAAGAAACAGACATGACTACAGCCTGCCTCAGACTGACTAGATCAGAGTCTCACAGGTGCTGAAGCCCTATTGGGGGTCAGCAAGTTCCACTGCGGGTGCTCGTGCACTCAGAGGTGTGAGAAGCACTGCTCTGGGTGAAAAGGTGCGGTGGGTGCTGGAGGTAGCAAAAACAAGTATGAAATGTCTAATTGAAAGAGAACATTTAAAAAAGAAAGGTGAATAATGACATTAACTCCTAGTTGGGGTCATTTTTATATAGGCTACTTTTCTATAATCTGATAGAGAGTAGATATATTAGAATCAGTCCAATTCAGTGGTTAAAGTGTTAATCAGAACGTCCATTCACTCCTCAAAATGTGTGACAAGGAGCAAAGGAGTGTTCCTATCAGCTGATCCTAAGAAAAAAAGTAAACACTCCCAACAAGCTCTGAGGCACAGGGAGTGGCTCAGGTTTCTGACAGTTCCCTGCGGTGGTGGAAAAAAGTAATAATTAACAGCTTCTTGGGCTTGATGACCTTGTTGTGTGTGGAGGAGGACTGCCTGCCGGGAGCAGAGCCCCAGCGGTGCTCAGGTGAGCCGTGCTCGCCCCTCCTCCTGCTCTTGGCACAGACCTCCAGAACAGGTGAGAGAGCGCTGATTTTCCGAGTTTGTGACCCAGCAGGGGAGCGCAGTCTCCGAGGCCAGTTCAGCCCAACAACTAAGGTAAAAAGGCCCCTTCTGCTCACACTGTGAATAACAGGCGAAAGCGGGAGTAGGGAAAAGCAGAATCCGTAGGCAGCCCAGTTGAATGCATCAGAGCAACCTGAAACCCCGGCATTACTTTGCCTCTTGATTTTTTCAGAATGGTCTTTGCTGACTAAGGTATGGAGGGGAGGAGCAGGAAAAGGAGGGAGGGAGTGGGAAAGGTGGGGGTGGGGGTAGTGTAGCCACTGAGCCCCTCCTCCCTTTTCTCCAGGGAAGTATTTCAGTGAGCACTTGACTTGGAATTGCACTTACTCTCCAGAGATACTAGCCTACTTACTCTGAGTGTTCTTAGGGTTACAATATTGTACTGAATCAGCAAACATGAAAAGTCTTTTTAACTGAGGGTTCGGCTAAACTTCCATTTGTTTCCACAAAGCTACAGAGACTTCTCCCCCACCAAAAAAAGAAAAGAAAGAAAAGAAAAAGAAAAATATTTGTGATAAAAGACCACACAAAACAATGAAAGAATAATCCTAAATAATTAAATGGGATTCTGTGAGTTAAGGATAAAATTCCAAGGCAGGAAAGCCGTAGGTTCAAATCTTGGCTTTGCCACTTAGCATTTTGTCCCTAGCAAGTTACTCAACTTAGCCAAGCCTCAGTTTGTTATCTATAAAAATGAGCATTCCAACAGGATCTGCCAATAGGGCTTAGATGGGTATTAAATACTTAGCAAGTGTCCTATAAATGGTACCTCCTATTAACCCTGTGAAATAAGCTGCTCTGCCAAAGGAGCCGGATCAGGAAGCATGAGCCAAGCTGGGGAGACTGTGGACCTTGTGGAGGCACTGGAGTTGAACAGGTTCCCTGAGAGCAGATCCAAGACATGGGAGCAGATGGCGAGTAGAAAAAGTATTACCTTTCTTAGTAGCAATGAAATCATCTGACTTGTTGCCATTTTTCAAATAGGGTAGATAGTGGCAAGTTCAAATTTATTTGTTACTCAATCACTGTTACTTTGGAAAAGTCATATTTATATTCATCCATATCTTACTCCAAATATGAAAGACAATTTTAATAGGAGAGGTACGCACAATCCCATATTGTGGAACCCATGATGTATGAGTTTTATAAGACAGGTTGCCTCTTGAATAACTGGAGAAAATTAGACCACAGAGTCCATGTCCTACACTGTAGCACATTATTGTATAGTTTGTATTGAAGTGATATGGACTCCCATCCGTGTTGACAGTCAAGGAACATAAGAGAGAGACACCTGTTTTTGTTGGTCTTTGCCTCTTAAACTTAAATTATAGGCAAGTGACCTTAGTTTATGAAATTTTATTTAAAGGACACTTTTTTTAATAATGTTAGTTTTATTAGTGTTGATAACTTTGAGGAAGGGACAAATATAGTAGCTGTGACTAGCAAGGTATTTTCATTGATGAAATTTTATCTTTTTATTTTATCAGTATAAAACATTTAAGTGGTTTGCAGTTAACCCTAGTTTAATATCATCTTTTTTTTTGAATATTGATATTACCTGGCTTTCTTAAATTTATTTTTTTTTATTTAAGAATAGTTGGCATACAATCTTATATTGGTTATATTAATTTCAAGTGTAAAATATAGTGATTGAACATTTTCATACCTTACTGTTACAGAAGAGATGGGGGGCTAATGATATGCTGTTAACAAATGGACCCACCCCTGTGCTCCAGGGGTTCGCCCCCATACTAGGTTCACCTTGCCCGCGGCCAGGAAAAGACATCTCTCAATGACAGAGATTGGTGAAAAGGAAAGGGATTATTTATTCTGAAAGTTATACAGACTTAGAGTAATGACTTAATGTCTTCATTAAAATACTAAAGTCCTTTAGAACACCCACAAATGCACAGTCCTTCCTTCTCCCCTTTGTCTCGTCCAGCGTGCCATATCTCAGGAAAAGAAGCAGAAGTCCATGATTCAGTCTCTCAGCACCATCAGCAGTGTTGCCACAGTGTTCTCCAGTTACCCCAAAACCATATGGCACCTTCTCATGGTCCACTAGCAAGAATCCTTTCACCCCTTTTCTTCCAGGCAAAGTCTCTCCTGCTTTCTAAGCCACATGGCGAAAAGGGAGCACCCCAAAGCTTCATGGCCCCAACTTTCGCCAAAACTGTGTGGTCCCAAAAAGCCCCACATGGTTGCCATGCCTGGGTTTAAATCTCAGTTCCAGCCTTCCTCTGCAGCCCCATTTCCAACTCCTCCCACAATCAGTTACACCCGCCAGCATTCCTGTATCCTTCCAGCTCTACTGGGCTGCCACAGTAAGTCTGGGCAGGTGTGGCCCCATGGTGTGGAGCCAGTCATCTCCAAGCTCTCACACAGGTGCTGCAACCAGGGGGAGTTGCCTTCCAGTTGCATTCTGGGTTGAAGTCACTAACCCCCTGGCTCAAAGAAAGCCACAGCTATTTTACATATCTATGAAACTAGTTAAAGGTTATAGATATGTTAAATGACCGTTCTTTTGGACCACAGCTGCAATTCCAGAAGATGAGCTGGCAGGCTGAGCAGCTTCCTTCTAGACTGTGTGCAAGCAAAAGATGCTTTGAGGCTTAAAGCTAGTTTGCTTATCCCACTACTCTTGCTTCCCTCACTTCCCCAAGAGCACTCTAGGGAGAACAAAGCACGTTACCTTAGCAATGTGTAAATATGCAATAGAATATTAAAGACTTGCTTTTCAAATTTGATTCTACCTGAACTGAGAGCAATGTCACTCTCATGTAGAAGTCTGATTGTTTGAGCCACATCCTGTTTATTCCTGTCTTAAATTCAGGCACTATGATATATTTTTGTTTATTTTTGTCTCAAAACAAACATTTCCTGACTGCAATCAATATCACTTAATAAAATGATAGTTTATGACTATCAACTCTTAACTTTGACCATCTCTGCAAATGAGACGCATTCTTATGAAAGAATATGGTGCCAAATGTTTCCCAGAAACCACATGTCTCTTGACTCTTTTGGATAGTGAACAGATTACAGGTTTTTTCTAATTTCCTTGAAATGAGATAATTGGTATACAGATCCTTTCTTCTCAACTTCAAGATTCCAGTTCAGAGCTTCGAGAAAACTTTATTTTCTTTAGAGCTTTATTTTGGATCAGAATACATATTTGTAACTTTCCATTGCTTCTTCAAGCCAAAACAATTATTAAAAAAAGAATTTCATGTGTACAGCCTTGAATATAATCTTACTTCATAGTTGAAATACATACTTGCTATGTATTACTTGCCAATGTATTACTTTCTGTTTTTTTAGTAACTTTCGGTGTGTGTTATATATGTTCCTTGCATACAATTTTAATAGTACCTATGAAATTAAAAATTATTATTATTATTTAATGATTTAATAATAATGATCAGTTAATTTCATAGCTCTCAATTTTACTGTTAATATTTTAATATACCTCCTTATATATTGAATATATTCATTATTTTGCATAAGTTTTATCTATGTAATTGGATATATGTACTTGGATATCTACATTCACTCTAGGCATTACCAAACTGAAATAGGAAATGATCCTGTTCTGAAGGAACAAATAGTCAAACTAAGTAAAATAAAATATACTGGTTGGAAAGAGAAAGCAGTAAGGAGTTAGAAATTTGCAGATATTTTCCTGTGAAAGTTGAGTGGCAGCAGAGACTCTCTTTGGCTGGGGAACCTAGGGAATTTAGCATCTGTATTTGTTTTTAGTTCCTTGTAAAATGATGGCCACCTTGACGCTGTGCGCACCCACTGGCCTCAGGAATAAGGCGCTGCAGACAGAGATACAGGCTATGCTTCCTGTGGTTGGCATAGGAGTGGAGCCAGAGATGGAACTCATGAAATAGTTGTTGACTATACAAAGGAGTGAACCAAATCTTCCACGTTTTAATCAAGTAACCATTTCATTAATCCATGTTTTGGGCACAGGAAGGAACTTTAAATGACTGGCCCACTTGAGTTCACTGCAACATGGATTTCCCATCTATCCTCTGCCTTCCTCTTGTAACTGGGCAGTGAGGGCAAGCCCATATGCGGGCAGGATACAGAGCAGGGAGAGGCAACCACTGACACTATCTAATGCTCCCAGGTCTCTGTTGCCCACATGCTCGGCGCTCCCATTCTGCCTGCTCAGACCCATTCTGCCTGCCTAACCTCTTTCCTTCCCTGCAGAGCCACCTAGGCTTATGTGAACCTATACCTACTTTCAGAACTGTTTATTTCTCCAAAACTAAATTGCTAGCCCACCTAATTACTATCTCTTGAGTTTCACTCTGTCTAGACAAAACAAAAAGTAAATAACCACAATTATTACACAATCTTATTTCATAAACAATCTAATCAATAAGCTCTGGCCCCAGGACGGAAGAGACCTCTCAGTAAAGTGCATGGATTTTGACAACTGCCTTCTTCTTCAAGTCATAGTTTATTGTGACCTCTCAAATTAATTGTCCACATACAAAGTAAGAACTCTAGGTGTCTATATCTATAATTTTTTCTGTTTTCATAAACCTCTCCATCTCACTAATCATGACCTCTATTCTCCTCCTCTTAAGTCTTTAGAGGAAACTAACTCAAATGCTTAAATCTACCAAGTCTTTATAATTTAAAATGTGTTCACAAGGGCCCAACCAGGTTTTACTTTGCTATGAATCATGGTTAATGGGGATGGAGAGAAGAAATTATTTGAATTCATAGATCTATTTATCATCTTAACAACTGACAATAAAATGAGACTTTTACCAAATCACATTTTTACCTATCAGGCTTTTAGACTGTTTGAATATTTTGCTTAGCCAATTTGTAGATTCATACATGGTCAATATTATTTCCTATTCAATCGCATTTGCAACCTATGAACAAAAATTTTATCTTGTTTTTCTTTTCTTCCCTAAATTCCATTCAATTATCTTTCTTCCTGAGGTCAGAGAATAATGTTGAGAGCTTTTGAAATCCTTTAATCCCATCTGAAATCTCCCTCTTGGCTTCAGCACAGGTCACAAGTTTGCAGAGCTGTTGTTTGCCATCTTTAATGGTACCTTAGCTATTTTATGAATACAAATAGGAAGCCAATCAGGAAGCTGCTGCAATGATTCTGCAGCCCATCACTGTCAATTTGCACTTTGTGATTGTAAGAGGCATCCAGAGGTGGTTCTTCAGTTCAAAATATCTCCAGCTTCTAGTCTCAGCTAGAAGATCATTTTAGGTGAGGTCTAGGACAGTTTTGTCAATAATTCTTAATCTTTTGGGCCATATCTGCAACTTTACATTTAGTCAGTCACTCAACATATATTAATGGAATTCTTTCCATATTCCAGGCAAAATTCTAATAGCTGGAGGTACACATATAAATTTCATAAAGCCCTTATTGTAAGAAATTCATGTTGTAGTTAGGAAAGATGGGCAATGTAAGTAAATAAGCTCATTTCAGATACTGTTTATGTAACTAGATGAAAATAATGTAAGTGTGATGGAGACTTGCATAGGGAAAGCCTCTGAGAGAAGAGACAAGTGGGCTGAGACCTGTATGACGGGAAAAGGCAGCCATGTGACATCAGGGGAGCAGGTTTTCCAACCAAGAGGAGCAGCAGGTTTAAATCCCTGAGACAGGAATTAGTTTAGGAGGTGATGGAGAACCAGTAAGAAGGCCAACGTAAATGAAATTGAGTGAATGCTGAAGAGATTGGCAGGACCTTGTGAGTCATTGCAAAGAGGTTATATTTTATTCTAGTTCATTCTTGGAAGTCTTTGCAAGTTTTTAATCATGGGATGACAAAGTCTGATTCAATCTTTAAAATTATCATGCCAGATGCTGTTTGAAAGAATGGAATACTGGTCACAATGTGGATGCAGGGAGACCAGCCAGGAGGCTGATAGAATAATCCAGGAGAAAGATGATGGTGGCTTGGCTCAAAGTGGTGGCTTTGGAAACAGAAGTTTTTTGAGATCAAGTTACATAAGAAGGTACAATCGATAGACTTTACTTCTGGATTGGAATCTGGTTATGATGAAAGAAGAAAAAATAAGACCGAGTCTTAGTTTTGGTGCTTAATTGGACAGATAGGGAAGAATTGTGGAGGTGGGGATTCTGGAGCATGGGAGAAAGCCAACGGTCCTATTCCAGCCATGTCGATATTGAGATGGCTTTTAGACATCCAGAGAGGTTAAGTTGTAGTGACTTGAGCCTGGAGCTGAGCAGAGAGGCCATGCTGAAGATGGATTAGACTGCCTGGAAAGAAGTGTAGATAGAGAGGATGGCCCCAGACAGAACAAGCCAGCATTTTGTGATTGTTAGAGGGGAAATAGGTGGAGAAGGCTAATCCATGGAGGCCTATGAGACAGCATGAAAATAAGGCAAGGTGGTTGTGATTACTTTAAAAAAGCCTTAAGGAAAGAAGTGTTTCAAAAGGGGGTGACAATCAACCTCGTCAAATGCTGCAAAGAGACAGATAAAATAATGAGAGAAAATAAACTGTTGGAATGTAGGAGGAGAGGTGCAAGGAGGGGTAAATTAAGGAATAGATGATAAATAGCCTGGATTCAGGAGGGAGAAGGTAGTGTTTGGGCAGCAAGGTAACACTGAGAAATCTTACTAGAGTGCACCAATAACTTTTTTTGCGGGTGATTAAAATGACAAACCTTGGGACAAAAGTCAGGTTTTAGAAACAAGAGCAAGAGCTGTATAACCAAACAACCCAAACTAAATCTTGCGAATGAGTAACTGAGATTAGTGGGGCTCATAGAGCATGTTGTGGCTGTGACCCAAGTCAGCCTAAAATGCTCATGTAGCTTCTGACCTACACAGTCAATTTGCCTAGTTTACTGAGCCTCCGACACTCTGGCTTTAGTACTCTCCATGAGACCATCTTCCTCCAAATGATGTGCTATCAAAGAAGATGGCATTCCCAACTAGAGAAACACATTCTCTGAGCAAGAGGATATGAGTGGAAAAGACATAAATCAATAAAAACAATGCAAGGTGGGATGCAGAACATGGAGTCACAGCAGCGTAGGTAGGTAACAGGCCATAGGATATTAGATAAGGTCCCATTTGAGCCAGGCCTAGAAGGAAGCAGAAATCTGGACTTGCAGTGATGAGGGACCACTTGTGCAAAGGAACTGGTGAGAAGACTTGGTGGTTTGAGAGTCCTTTAGACTAGAAGGCCTGATATTAAAGAATAGCTTCAATTTTGACTTTGAAAAGGTAGGTTTGGGTAGAATTGCAGAGAGCCTAAATGTCAAGTTTAGGGGCTTGGGCTGTATTTGCTTAAGAATGAGATCACAGGAAGGTTTGTAAACAAGGAGATGTTAAATAACAATGATAAAAGCATAAGGGAAACTAGTTTAGAGACTACTCAGGTTAGAGACTCTTACAATACACTGGGTGAGATATACTCATACTTTCGAGTATAGATTATAGATTACAACAATGTGCTACAAGGAAAAATATGCATCAGGAATTTTGTGAGAATAGCTATTTTCTCTCTGTTTTTCTTTCGTTTGTTTTTTTTTATTTTATTTTACTTTGTATTGCCATTCTGGAGAAAAAAAGATGTGAAATATCTTCCACACACCCTGCCCCAACCAAAATTATCTGATTCAGAAGGGGAAGAAGGAAATTCCTCCCCCTCTGTTTTTAAATTTTTTAAAAAATGATCTTTTCTCTCCAGCCTACCCTTTTATTCTGGCTATATCCCTTGTGATTCTACAGGCTTGAAGCAACAGTAATTAAATATTCCATTTCTGCAAGATGGAACAACTAGAAATTATTATACTTAAAATCTCTGGTCATACCTTAATGTCATTTACATGAAGACCTAAAGGAGGTTATTATTCATGTCTGACCACAGTTCCAGAGCCTGAAAGAGACTTCAAGGATGTGACATCATGCTAACTCAACCCTGCGAGTCTGAGCTTGATTTTGGCTGCCTGAGAACTTAAAGTTGTGTTTGCGGGAATGGGCAGAGTTCAGCCAGTTTGGATTGAATTTCTGTAATAGAATGAATATGCTTCCTTGCAAAGAATCTCACAGGAGGAAGTTCTTTCTAGAAATACTCCAAAAACAGACTTACCAAACTGGCACATCCTTCCTTGTCTTGGGTCACTTATTTTGTAGTTTTTCAGCTTACCTAGTACAGTTTTCTCCTTTCTTCACACCTCCAAACATTGCTTTAGGATCTCCTCTCTACTCTAGCTGCCTTGTATTCCTCTGTTACCACAAAAAGTTCGGTGATTGCAAAATGTTTCTTTTTGAATCATAGAAGACTTTGGGACTTAATGTCTTCTTAGAAAAAATAACATTGAGCTGCTAAGTAAGCAGAAGTTTAAAACTGAATAGATTTTTTTTCCCACAAGTCTCTAGAAATTTTATTTTAAGATATAATAACAGTAAGACATCTAATATTTTTAAATAAATTTTTGGAGATTTTACTATAACATGTAACCGGCAAGCCTTCATAAGCATTATTTCAGCTGGGCAAATTCTTCATGCGGCTTCTCATTTTTCACCTTTATACTTCTCAATAAAATATAAGCTGTGCAGCAGCTTTAAACACCCCCACACCCTTGCATTTATACAAAGATGGGACAGGAGGATAGCTTTTAAATCACTAAAACCTGGTCATATCAGAACTGTGGATAAATTGAAAAATGAAAAAGAAATTCTTAGGGTGCATTCCAAATCAAATACCAAAACTTCAGAAATAAGATTCTGTGTAATAAGAGCAATGCCACATTTGGACATACTGGATACGCTCACCTCCAGGAGTGTAACTAGTGCAGCCATCAACTGTAAAGTGATTACCAGCATAACTTTCATACAGGATTTCTCTAATGAATTTGCAAACCATTAGCATTTATGATGGGCCAACATTGTGGTTTGTGTTGCACTTTCATAGAAACACTGTTCCATCCTGTCTGCCTTTCTCTCTCTTTTCTCCACAGGGGTCGATCTCTCAGGTTGATTCCCCATGGAAAGGCTGTTCTTCAAGTTGTACAATATTTCTTCATATGTCCTTTTTGCCACCTTTCATTAGAGACTGTTGAAATTAAATTATATGTTCGTCTTCCTTCACCGCTATTTTCATTAAATTATATGAAGAATATAATTTTCAGTTTAAAATGGAAGGTGATATCAAAAGAGAAAAAAAACATATTTTTCTCAAAAGCACAGGTTGAGTAATAAGAACAGAGGAAAACACCTAAGCATCTTAAAACTTAAATACGTTGGGACTGGGGGAGAGGGGGTGGGGAGATAAAAAAATAAATTATTACTTGTTCCCAAAACAAATTATCTTATGAACGATTGTGAAAACTAGGTTTGGAGGATGCCATTTAGAACCTCACTCATAGTGAGTTGTACTTAAAACTCTGAACTCCAAGCTTATCTTCTTATAATTGAAGATTTTGGAGAACATCTCATTTGTTCTCAGTAGTAATTCTCTCAGACATAGAAAAAATCCTTGAAAAGAATCTTAGCATGGACTGATTTATAGAAAATCAAAATTTTTCATCTGTACTACCTTTTCTAAACTGCAAAAACACCATTGGTGAAATGGGAGAAAGTGGAGGCCTTGACGACACTCGGGTCTTGCTTCAAACCATCCGTTCCACTGCTTACTAAGCATTTGAAATGGAGGCAGTGCATCCACACCTGGCAGGGATGGTCTGAGGATTAAACGAGATAAGGTCTATAAACTGGCTCACATACCAAGTGTGAGATCCATAGCAGGCAAATGCTAAAAAACATCTTCTCTTTCCTTCCCTCCCCAACCCAACCCTCATGCCCATATGTGAAACACTGCTTGAACACTCCCCTCAAATACTTCTACACACCAGGCACACAACAAAAAATTCAATTTAAGTCAGAAACAGGTTTATGAATGCATCAGAAGGACGTACCACTAACATTATTCTAATGTTTTAGGGTACCTTAGATGATCTCAGAAAGGGGGACACGATGACTATGATGGCTCACCAGTCCTCTTCTTGGATCTTCGTCAATGACAGAACATTCCTTACTGGGTAACTATATGCCTGTCTTACATGTTTTCCTAGTCGCCAGTCATGTATAGATTATACCCCAGCAGTATGCTATTCTAAGCATGATATATGACCCACAAGATTAAAAATAAGAATCACCAGTTGAGACATTAAATGAGAAGTTGAATAACATGTTCCTAAAGACTGCTAAACCATAGCCTTTCATAGAAAATCACTCACATTTCATAAATGTGGTCTAATTTCACTAAAGGCTAAATTTACTCTTTAGTAGTTGGTACAATTCTCAGGCAACATTAAATAGAGGACCTAAGGCTACACATAAATGATTTATCCAAAGAGTTAGCCCTAGAGCCCACATAGGGTTTTTTATCCTCTCCCCTCTCTCTCTTGTCCTGAGGACTCACTTGTTTTTGACTATTTCTCTCTAAGCATTAGGTGATATATGGCCAATGTCCACAGCTGTTTTTTTTATACACAGCAAATGGCATCTTGTGTTGCTTTGGTGATAAGGGAGTAGGGATGCAAAAATTATCAGAGAAAAGATGAGAACTGAACTTCACTGAGCTAGGGCTGCAGCCAAGGAAGGAAAAGATTAAATGCTAGGCAAAAACAAGTGGCACCAGAGCATGACCCATGTCTTACAAGAAACAGAAACCCAGACAAATAAATGAGAGAGGGACGTGGATGTAAATGATGCAGAATTGGGAAATGGGAAAGCAGAAGGAACAAATATGGTTAAAAATGGAATTAAAGCCACAGGTGGAAGATAACATAAAGTATAAGAATAATGAAGAAGACGTAACAGAAAAGATAGTGGATTCATTTATTCATTCCTCAAATACTTATTTACTGCTTTCTGTGGACAGGTACTCTTTTTGATCCTGAGCATTCAGAAATGAACCAAACAAAGATTTTACTTTTATGGGTTTACCTTCTAAAAAAGAATACAGTAGCCCCGCTTTATCCATGGTTTCATTTTCCACAGTCTTAGTTAGCTGCAGTCTGAAAATATTCAACAGAAACTTCCCAAAATAAACAATTCATAAATTTTAAATTGTGTATCATTCTGTGCAGTGTAATGGAATCTCACCATCCCACTCCATCTTACCTGGGACATGAATCATCCTTTTGTTCAGCATGTTTAGGCTATCTAGGCTTCCCACCCATTGGTCACTTAGTAGCTGTCTCAGTTATCAGGTAAACTGTCCCAGTACTATAGCAGTTGTGTTCATGTAGCCCTTATTTTATTTAATAATGGTCCCCAAACACTAGATGAGTGATGATGGAAATTCAGATATGCCAAAGAGAAGCCATAAGTGCTTCCTACAAATGTAAAGGTGAAAGTTCTCAATAAGGAAAGGAAAAAAATTTATTCTGACGTTGCCACAATCTATGGTAAGAGAGAAACTTTCATTCATTAAATTGCCTAATTTATAAATTAAACTTTATCATAGGTATGCATATATAGGAAAAACATATTATATATAGGGTTTGGTACTATCCACAGCTTCAGGCATCCACTGGGGGTCTTAGAATGTATCCCTCACAGATAAGAGAGGACTACTATACAGTCAATATGTTAAGATAAATGAGTAAAAATATATATATATTATTAAATGCTGAAAGGTATTAAACATAAAAATAAAGCAAGAAAGGGAGCACCGAGTGCTGAGAGAGGAGTGGCAGGTTGATATTTTATATAAGATAGCCAGGGAACTCCTCAGTGAGGAAGTAACAATAAAAACCTGAAGGAGGTGAAGGAGTGAGCTATGCAGATAACTGGCTGGGAGCATCCAGGCAAAGGGGACAGCAAATTCACAGACCTGAGGTGGGCACATGCCTGTGAGGGAGGAGGAAGCAGGTGTGGAGAAGCGAAGTGGGAAGGACAGTAGAAGAAGAAGTTAGACACATAATGGGGCCAGACCTGGAGGGTCTCAGAAGCTGTCGTGAGATGCCACATTTCCCACTTACACAATGTGAAACCATTGAAGAATAGTGCGTACGTGGGAAACTGGGCCAGTCTGGCTGTTAAGAGCAGACTGAAGAAAAGACAAGAGTAGAAGCAGAGAAACTATCAAGGAAATGATAGTCCAGGGTAGAGATCCCAGTTCCTCTGACCCAGGTGGCAGCAGTGGAGATGGTGGGGGGAAAGGTCAGATTCTGGATATATTATGAAGGAAGTGACAATAGAATTTCCTGAAGATTTTCATGTGCAATATGAAAGAAAGAATAACCAAGGATGATTCCAAGGGTTTTGGTCTAGAAGAGTAGAGTTACAATTTTCTGCTATTATAAAGACTATAGGAAGAGCAAGTTTGGGGTAGAATATCAGGAGTTCAGAATGGTAAGATCAGCAAAGAAATAAGTGTAAGCGGAGAAGATTCAAGATCCAAGGTTAGAAAAGGATGAAATAAAGTTGGAAAAACAGAAAACAAGAAGGCAATAAAGAAGTATGTTGGGTGAAAAGTAAGCAAAATGACTGTGGAGACTGAACAGAGAGGAAGAGCAGTAATGTACTGGGTAATACAGCAGGTTGTGTGTGTGTGTGTGTGTGTGTGTGTGTGGTCTGCCCAGAAGGTATCCAGCCATGAAAAATGGAGACATTTATTGAAGAAAATACAAGATACAAGAAACATTGTACATAGGATGATGATACCTCAGTCCCCTTCAAAGTAGGCACCTTGAGACCCCATACAGTTCTCCCAGTTGCCGTCAGGTGCCTGGTCATATTTTCCTGAATCACATCGATGGTATGAAATCTCTTGCCTTTCAAAGGTGACTTTGGTTTTGGGAAAAGCCTGAAGTCACAGGGCACCAAATCTAGGCTGTAGCGGGGTTGAGTCACCAAAAAACTCTGCAGAAGATGTGATGCATGAGCAGGCACATTATTGTGATGAAGCTGCCAATCACCAGTTGCCCATAGCTGTGGCCTTCTAAATCATGCAAATAGTTTCTGTGAAGGAATATTCAAGCTTAACGCACAATTTGGTGTGGATTAGTTGCTCTACTCGTTCAGTCATTTTTAATTTGACAGCCACACAGTACACATGCTCACTCAACAGCATCCACTGTCCCCCACTGACTAGTACAGTGAAGGTATCATTGTTGATGCATGTGCATTCCAGTCCACTCTCCTTCACTGTCAGTTTACATCGATGTTGTGCAAACCATTCTCATTATACTAACAATGGCTGCAGTTTTTCTGGAAAGACCTTGTGTGTATACAAGGTCTGTCCAGAATACATCCAGCCATGTAATATGAAAAATAGAAGGGAAAAAACATATATATTACTCACCACATATATGTCATTTTTAATATATATGACAACACCTTGAGATGTCAGGGTAACTGAATGAATGAAACCACTTCAGGATGTCAAGATAACTGAAGCACTGGTGGTGATGGATATATGAGGGGAAGAAGGAAGTTGAGGAGTTATAAAATTGAAATTAAAAAATGAGAACTTCATTTTTTAAAATATTAAGCGCAGATGACTGACAATGAAGATCAGGGAAGGTAGTTGTCCACATAAATAAGAAGATAAAAGGGACAGAAGGTCCTAGAGACTGATAAGAAATGGACATGGTAACAAGATGGGCATTGTTGGGAGGACCAGAAAGATGGCAGTTTGGGAAGAGTAAAAGGAAAAGGAAAAGATGGAAAAGAGTTGAATGATCTGCAAGAGAAGCAGGAGGCAAATGAGGTTCAAGGTAGGATGATGGAAATGATGGGAGAGCTTGTGAATAAAAGCTAAGAGCCCCCAAGAGAGTGACAGAAGGGGAAGAACAGGGCGAGAGCCCTACCACATTTGCCTCCTCCCAAAGAAAATTACTGAAGGAAGAGAGGTGTTTCCAAAGACAACAGCCTTGGGTCTACACTGGTGTTCATTTTTGCCTTGGTGCCTTTTGTGCTGTGTAAGTTTAATTAACTGGAAAACAAATTAAAAAATTACCATACCAGGAGGAAAGTTCAGAGAAGGAAAAGCACAGAGCATAAGAAAAGAATGTGCAAAGCCCTGTACATATTGTCCTCTTGTTCAACTCTGAATGACTCAGTTCAGCTCGTGAAATCAGGACTCCCATCTGCCATTGCCAGTGCATTGCTAAATTGCTCCTGGTCCCACCTCTCAGGTTACAACCGCTGAGGGTACAACCATTGTCCCTTAGTCACTTCAGCTCTGACGCAGTAGCTCTACCTCCTGAATTCCTGAGGAAGCAAAGGCCTTTCTCACTCAAATCTTTAGATTTACCCATACAATCGGATTAAAATATACTCTAAACAGGTATGAGGTCACCTCCCTCCACAGTCCTCTGCCTGCATACCCTGGCATCAACCTTTCCTCCCTGGAAAAAACTCAAGACAATGTCACAGAGAAGCTCCTGTGGCCCCCCTGACTCCTGTCTGCTCTTAGGGGCATTTCTGTCCTGGCTAACTCCGTCATCGGTATGCATGCATTTCTCTTTATTTTCTAGGTTATTTATCCCACTGGTCCTTTCTCTAGAACAGTTTTCTTACACCTTTGTAGAGCTCCTAGTTCAGTTCTTATAAGCTTCATGTCAATCTCACTGTAGCTGTGAGCAGCCAGTGGTAACGTCTGCCCTGGATCGCCACATTCCCTTCTTTTGTTCATCTGTGAAGTCAGAATGTGAAAATCACAAATTTTCACTGACAGATGCTAGAATTTGCCAAGTCAACTTCTGTTTCTTTTGTAATATTTTGTTTCCCAGTCTCAGCTTTTCACTTTCCCCTTGAAATCCTCCCTGAACTGCAGTGAGAGTTTAATTAGCCTGGGTTGATTACTTTGTTCTTTTAAAATATTTATTTCCAAATTATCAAGTATGATGATTTGATAAATTATTGTATTTTATATATTAATATTTTATGTAATTGTAAAAGCTGAGAAAATATAGAAACATACAGATTAAAAAATGAAGATTATCCATCATCTCACTACTGAGGAAACATATACACTATTTAATCTTGTCACATTCCCCATCTAGTAAGGATTATATTTGCCATA